TTTCAAAACAGACTAACAGGGTATCTGACCTCCTGCCGGTCAGTGCCCTTGTTAGTCCAGCAGCCCACCCACAAAACACAATCAACAGCACAGCCCACCCACAATAAATAGTTACTGCACCTGGGTAGAGGAGAAGCTTGACAATGCCCAGGTGCCTCACCACGGCTGTGCTGGGTACGCTGACTTGGTGGGGTGCTGCGTGGGCAGAGACCAGCTTCACTCTGCCCTGTTGCCAGCGCTACTAGGAGGGTAGCCTGGTTGAAGCCTGGTTGTTGGAGGGGGAGACCGACTGTCTCCCCTTTGGTTACACAGCTCTGCTGCTGGAGACCGACTGTCTCCCCTTTGGCTACACAGCCCTGTCGCTGGGGGGCAGAACCGACCGTCCCTAACCCCTGTGCTGTATGTGCAAAGACCACGGTCCCATCTGCACAGTTGTGGGGCTTACTGTCTCCCCCGGGTACATTAAGCTGCTGCTGGGGAGAGGGGGTAACAAGCTCCTCTCCCATATATACTTCCAGCCGCGGGGGAGGGAGACTGACTGTCTCTGCTCCCAATACAGAGTCCTGCTGCTGGGGAAAGGAGACTGGGCTCTCTATTCCCGGTAGGACACTCTGCCGCTGGGGAATGGAGACTGGGCTCCCAATTCCCTGTTTTATCTCCCGCTGGGGAATGGAGACTGGGCTCCCAATTGCCAAAAAATCACGCTGCCGCTGGGGAGGGAGGACACTGCTCTCCTCTCCCTGGACTTCACACTGCCTTCCCGGCATATCACTTGGCTGCTGGGGGCAGGAACAACTACCTCTGCCCCCTGTAGCTCAGCCTGTCGCTGGGGAGGGAGGACACTGCTCTCCTCTCCCTGTACTTCACACTGCCTTCCCGGCATATCACTCTGCTGCTGGGGGGCAGGAACAACTACCTCTGCCCCCTGTAACTCAGCCTGTCGCTGGGGAGGGAGGACACTGCTCTCCTCTCCCTGTACTTCACACTGCCTTCCCGGCATATCACTCTGCTGCTGGAGGGCAGGAACAACTACCTCTGCCCCCTGTAACTCAGCCTGCCGCTGGGGAGGGAGGACGCTGCTCTCCTCTCCCTGCACTTTACACTGCCACTGGGGAATGGAGACTGGGCTCCCAATTCCCAATAAATCACACGGCCGCTGGGGAATGGAGACTGGGCTCCCAATTCCCTGCAGGACCGATGGAGAGACTTCGGTCCCATCTCTACCGGCCACCTGGGGTTCTTCCCAGAAAATATCAACAATGTCTTGCCAGCTGAATGGGTCTGGAACTGGATCTGTCACCTTGCTGTCCTGCTGAATCTTCTCAATGGAGTGGAAGAGATCTCGGTAGTCCTGCTCCAGTTCCCACTCCAGGGTTGCTAGGTGAGCCAGGTCTTGCTCAATGTCGTGAGTGTCGCCCCAGTCATACCTGCTCTCCCTCCACTCCAAGAGATCACTGAACCGGGCTTGTGTAGGGCTCCCAAATTCAGGCTCTGAAAAAGCCTCCCATAACAAGCCAGGACCATCAAACTCCTCTCCCTCTGGCTTGTCATGCTCGGCCGTCCAGGGCAGGTACTGTGCCCCATACCACCAGAGCGCCTGGTAGGCATCTTCCAGCCAAATCTCCTGCCATACCCGGTGCTCCAATTCCTTCACCCATTCATCCAGGGGCTGCTCTCCCAGGAAGGGCATCCACAGGGCCACTTGCTTCTGCAACCGCTGCTCTTCACTGGGGAGACTCTCGCCCCACTGGTATTGTACATTATCCAGGGCCTGGTACCAGATGCCTTTCCTTAATGCATCCCGGCCATCCAGGTCCTCCTCCTCGTATGACACTGCTGGTTCCATTCTGTTGCTGTCAGGGTCGCTGTACTCAGACATGCGTTTCCCTCAAATTGTAAATCCACGGAATGGTGTTGCCTGTAGCTGTCCTGTAGTCTGTGGGAACGATCCCGCCGCTTGCCACCAATTGTAACGGACCGTTTTGCACAAAAGGGGAAAAAAAACGCTTAGACGATAATCCCCTTTCAGAGACAGGCACAGCTACTGTAGAATCACCCAAAACTCATGAATTGAATACAAGTGAATGCACCAAACTCCCGAACTGCATACAAGGGAATAAGGTAGCACTCCAAACTCCTGAACTGGAACCTCACGAATAGCTGCTAACAGACGAACAGGAAAAGCTCCCAAGCTGCTTACACTCCTGGCAATCAGTCCTTAGCAGCATACAGTAAATCCCCCCAAAGACGAGACAGAGCTCCGTGTTGAGGGTCAAGCAGTGGTCTGAGGTGCTGGCACACCCAGCCTGGTTTTTATTACAGTCTTGTAAATACAGGACCGCCCACAGGGAGGTATAAAACAA